TAAAAATGCATGCCAAGAAGCATAAATAGAATAAGTACAGCAATTCATATGTCACTGAATGGGACTTGAAAAGGCACACAAAGGACTGTGGAAAGAACTTCCAGTGCAAGTGCAGCTATCCCTCTGCCAGCAGAATGGCATTACAGTCTCACATATACCACACTGGCCATGAAATCCTGCACAACACAGGGATTCACCTAGAAAAAAAGAAAATGGAATACCTCCTGCAAAACCAGAGTTATCTAATATGACCATTGAAAAATGGAGCAAACCAACCAAAACTTTGACCAGACATTCAAGACCTAGAAACTTCAAAGACTCTTGGAGCTCTAAGGCCAAAAAAGAAGTGTCATACCTCTGAGATGTCTTCCAAAATATCCCAAAGTGGCTCTGGTTAAACTTCCAGTGACGGAGGTTTTTTCCTGTTCATTGCTTTGTACCTACAGCTGCATGTTAGTCAGCTTTTCATCACTGTGATCAAAAGACCTGACAAGACCAGCTTAGAGAAGGGAAATTTTACTTGGGACTCACAGTTTCAGAGGGTTCAGTCCATGATCAGCCAACTTCACTGCCCTGGGCCTGAGGTGAGGCAGAATATCATGATGGAAAGACTTGGGGGTGGGGGGGAAGCTGCTCAGCTCATGGCAGCCAAGAAATAGAGAGAGGAAGGAACCACAGATAGAGTTGAAGCCATGCCCCCACTGGTCTACTTCCTCCCAGTCATGCCCTTCCTGTCTATAGTTACTACCCAGTAGTCCATTAAAATTATTAATCCATCAAATGGATTAATCCACTGATGAGGTTACAGCTCTCATAATCCAATCATTTCATCCCAAAACATTCCTTCCATTGTTTAATTCATAATATTTTTAGGGTACATTAAAGATCTGAACAATAAGCTGATAATTTCTTCAGGTTATGGTGTCAATTGTCAATAGCTCCATTGTAGGTGCTATTCACTTAGTGTCCTTGTCAATAGAGAATATGATCCTTAAACTAGATTCAAAGGCTTACTCTCTTAAGGGGAACCTCATCTTTCAAAAATTATAAGACTTATAAATTAAGATTATAAGTTATAAATTATAAAATTATAAATTGTTGAGTCAATGAATACAGTTGTTAAATAAACTTGCATAAAAGTCCACATAATCCTTTACAAGAATTAGGTAACACGTGTGTCAAAAGAACAGAATTTCTTCAAACAATGTAAAAACAAATGTGTCCGAGGGATGGGGATAAAGTTCAGTTGGTAGAGTGCTTGCCTTGCATGCACAAGCCCTGGGTTCAATCCCCAGCACCACAAAAAAAATAAAATAAAATAAATAAATAAATATATATATATATATATGTGTGTGTGTGTGTGTGTGTGTGTGTGTGTGTGTGTGTGATATATCTCATAAAACTTCTGCACTGTAGGTTGTCCCTGATTCCTTCATGTCATCTTGTTTTCAGACTGATCTGTTGTTTGATTCTTAAGTGTCCTTCTCATTAGTTTCACACCCAGACATTTCTGCTCAGCTCTTAGGTAACTTCAACCAGAACTGCTCAGGCTGATGCATTTATGGACAGCTGGTTCCAGCCAGGTAGGAAATTCAGAGAAACACAAACCAGTGGGTAGCAAAGTTCCCCCCACCACACACACATAAACACTCAACCGTGTGTTGCCTGCAAGAAAAATACCTCATGGCAAGATAATGAAGTTGTGAAAGAATGAAAAATATTTCATGCAAGTGGAATATAAAAGCAAGCAGAAGTAGCTATGCTTATATTCCAACAGAAATGACTTTGAAACAAACTTAGAAGACACAAAGAAAGAAGGTGACTACATATTGCTAAAGAAAACAATACAATAAGAAGATAGAAAGATCATCATAAATATGCATGCACCCAAAATGAATGCACTCAAGTTCATAAAACAAATACTATTCAACATAGAGGGACAGATAGGCCCTAACACAATAATAGTGGGTTACTCCAATACCTCATTCTCACAAATAGATACATCAAGCAGACAAAAATTGAAAAAGAAATACCAGAGTTAAACTATACTGTAGATCAAACTAACTTATCAGACATCTACAGAAGATCCCATCCAATAACAGAATACATATTCTTTTCAGCAACTCATGGAACTTTCTCTAAAACAGATTATATCTTAAGTCATAATGCAAGTCTTAACAAATACAAAAATCAAATAATTTCTTGCATCCTATCAGATCAAAATAAAATAAAACTAGAGATTAACAGCAAGAGAAACTATACAAATGCTGGAGATTGAACAATACAATTTTGGGTGATCACTGGATCATAGAAGAAAACAATGGGTAAATTTTTAAATTTCTTTAATCAAATTAAAATGGAAAAACATACCAAAATCTATGGCATACAGTGAAGGCAGTTCTATGAGGGAAATTTACATCTCTGAGTGCCTTTATTTAAAAAACACTTCAAGACATAGGCACAGGCAATGATTTCCTGAATAGGACTGAAATAGCTCAGGAAATAATAGTGAGAATTAACAAATGAGACTTCATCAAATAGAAAAGCTTTTTCACAGCAAAGGAAACAGTAAATAAAAAGCCCATAAAATGGGAGAAATCGTGGCAGCTAGCTACTCTTCTGATAGAGCATTAATATTCAAACATATTTTTGAAAACTCAAAAAATTTAACTCCAAAAACAAACTATCCAATCAATTGAGTGAACAAATAAACTGAACAGACCTTTCTCAAAAGAAGTATGAATGGCCAATAATTATGTTTTAAAACATTCAATAACTTTAGACATCAGGGAAATTCAAATCAAAACTACATTGAGATTTCATCTCACCATAGTTAGAGTGGCAATCATCAAGAATATAAAACCACAAATCCTGGAAAGGATTTGGGGGGACAGAACCCTTATACATTGTTAGTGGGAATGTAAATTAGTACCATACTATGGCAATCAGTATGGAAGTTCTTCAAAATACTGAAAATAGAAGTATCATAAGATCCAGTGGTATCACACCTTAGAATATGCCAGAAGGAAAAAAGTCAGCATACTCTATAGATACCTGCATACCCACATTTATTGTAGCAGAATTCATAATATCCAAGTTATAGAATCTGCCTAGGTTCCCATCAATACATGTACCAATACAGAAAATGTGGTATGTATATACACAATGGAGTTTTATGCAGCCATAAAGAATGAAATAGTATCATTTGCAGGAAAATGGATGGATAGAATATTAAGTGGAATAAACAAGACACAAAAGACTAGCTTTACAAGTTTTCCCTCATGTGGAATCAAGGAGCAGGTGGCAGGACATGAAAGTAGCAGGAAGACTACCAGAGGAAAGGAATCAGGGGAGTGGGAGGGAAAGATAGAGGAGAGTAGCGGGGCAGGTATGATCAAAGTATGTTGTTTGCATGTAAGCCACAATGAAACCCATTATTCTATATAATTAAAATGCACTAACAAAAATGGAAAAGGGTGGATTAAAGACTTACATGTGAGGACTAAAAATATAAAATTACTAGAAAAAAGCACAGAGAGAAATCTCCATGACCTTGGTCTGGTTTGTAATACTTTGGATATAACAAAAAAATATATATGCAACAAAAGCAAAAATAGACCCGCACAGTGGCACACACCTGTAATCCCAGCAGCTTGGGAGGCTGAGACAGGAAGATCAAGAGTTCAAAGCCAGCCTCAGCAATGGCGAGATGCTAAGCAACTCAGTGAGTCCCTGTCTCTAAATAAAATACAAAATAGGGCTGGGGATGTGGCTCAGTGGTCAAATGCCCCTGAGTTGAACCCCCAGTACCACCCCCCAAAAAAAGCAAAAATTGACAAATATGTTTATATCACTTTTAAATGTTTCTACACAGCCAAGGAAACAACAAAATAAGAAGGCAACAGACCCAATAGGAGAAAATATTTGAAAAGCAAATATCTGTTAATGGATTAATATCCAAAATATATAAGAATTCCTACAACTTAAAAAAAATTAATGGCCAAAGGACCTGAAAGACATTTTCAAAAGAAAAGATACAAATAGCCATAGAGTATATGAAAAGGTGCTCAACATCATTAACCACCAGGGAAATGCAAGTCAAAACCTCAATGAGATATCTCACCTAATTAAAATGGCTATTATCAAAAAGACAAAAAAAACAACAACAAATACTAACAATGATGCAGAGAAAGAGGATTCTCATACGCTGTTGGTGGAATTTTGAGTTCATACAGCCACCATGGAAAACAACTGTCTTTTTTATTATAGCCATCCTAACTGGAATGAGATAGTATCTCTCTGTGGCTTTGATTTGCATTTCCCCGATAATTAATGATTTTGAGTGGTTCTTCATATACTTTTATCTATTTATGTATCTTCTTTTGAGAAATATCTACTCAGCTTCTTTGTTTCTTATTTTTGCTGTTGATGTTTTTTTTCAATTCCTTATATATTCACAGAAGAAAAATTCCTATTTTCACATTGAATGTTTTAAGTTTATGTCAAATTCTGTCTTATTGCTTTAACTGGAGCTGTGTGTGTGGTGTGTGTGTGTGTGTGTGTGTGTGTGTGTTTCAAATATTGTATAGTTCACAGCTAGATAGTTCAGGTTTTAAATCAGCCAGATAGAATCTCCTTGAGAAGATCCATCTGCCTGGGGTGTAGATATTAGAGATGGACACACTTGACTAATTAAGCTAATCCTAGAAAATCAATATGATGCCATCTAATTAAATTACAAATCTTACCTTTGGTCGTGCATGTCTGGGCATAAGACCTGACTGAACAAAGAATCCCAAAATAAACCACAAAGCATCAGGGCAAAAAACTTCCAATTAACATAGCAGACTATTTAATAAAAAAAAAATTATTTAAGACTAGCCCTTGAGATTTGTAAAATCAATGCCAAAGTTTCACATTTGACTTCTGTTTTTTTACATCCATAAATAAGAAACTGAAAGAAAATAATTCATGTTTTTTTTTTTCCTGTTAAAACCATAATGGCTTTGGAGGGGGCAGAAATGCCAACACTTAGGATGGAATCAACCATGTAAGGAGAGAATCTAGTCCCTTCCCACTCTGGGACAGTATTAAGTTTAATAAATTTCTTTAATTTAAAGAGACCCACAGGTTTAGGACCTGTGACCAAAATAAATTAGGTAACAGGAAATTATAAATTGGAACTTGAAAAGTTAAAATGCAATCTATAAAATGACTTCCATACTTCTTCAAGGTGGTTCTCTTTGACATCAAGTTCACTATACTATTAGTAAGCCCAAGGAAGCCTGCTAGGAAAAAAATTACACAGTGGTAATATTTTTATTCTCTTGGCACAGTAGTTTTAAACCCTATCAAAGAGTTAATTATTTTTTCTGTTCCTATAACCACGAGGTTTTAAGAAAAAAAAAAAAAAGCCCATGTCCTTCAAAAGGTATTGAATTTCAAATAGAAGGATTTCTTTATAAACCTATTTTGATCTGAATATTGACTTCAACATCAGTTTATTTCATTCTTTGTAAACCCAACTTCTTAGTATTTAAAGATCTGCAAACCCCATAAACTATTTTCACAAGAAAAAACATTATTCTATTCAAAGTCTAATACACAATTATCTAAAGTGCTGTTATAGTGGCCCAACAGAACACGAAATAAAACCTTAAGATAGAATCATGATACAAAAGCTGTTTTTCTATGTCAATCCTGGACAACAAAATAGCTTTTTGGTATTCATTAAATCCAAATACCTCTCTATAAAATATCTTGAGTTTTTCTTTATGTACAAGACTTTAAGGATTCAGTGTGGATGCCTCACCTGGACAATATCAAAACTATATGGAATATACCAAATGGTATGCCTAATCATGCACAAAAACTATAGTCTATGGTTATAATTATATAAGGGTGCTGTCATACTAACTTCCACTTCCACCTCACTGTGGACTCCATGAAATCCACAATTATATGTAGCTAAATGAATATTATATGTTCTATTCTTTATCATATTCTTGTCTGATTCTCTTCCTATTTAGGTTATAGTGACCTTAGTAGCCTCTCCATTTTTAAATTGCTCAAGTTGAGTACAAAATCTTTATCAAGCATATTCCTGATAATTTTTGGTTTTCTTAAATACTAAATTTCTATATAAATTATCTATTACATCCAAGATAGAGCTCCATCTCCTCCATCTCTGTCATGGTTTGCATATTAAGTAGCATAATAAAATGTGGGTGGAATATATAGAGAAGGTATTTACCAGTTCTATTTTCCTGTAGTAGAAACAATCATATATAAACTGTAAAAGATTCTCCCATTTACATAAATATACTTCATCTCTATAATATCCCCCACAAGTCACTAGTATGGTAATTTGAAGATGGCCTCAAATTCTTTCCTGTTTCTTTCATAGACAGATGAATTCAAACTTCTCTTTCCTTGAATCTGAACTAGCTTTAGTGATTTTCTTGATAAATATAATGTGACAAGAAATTATGATGTTATAGGACTTCTGGGTTATAAGAAACCTTTCAGCTACCATTTGGGTTGCTTTGCTCTGGGGGAACTAGCTGCCTTATAAGAAGTCCACATCTACCCTGAGACTGCCATGTGATGAGGAAGCCCAAACTAATCACAATGAGAGGCTAAATGGAAAAAGAAAGATAACCCAGCCTGTCCCAGTTATTCCAACCATCCTAGCTCAGGCTCAGATATGTGAGAGAAGAAACTACCTTTTCCAACCCAAGCAGGTGTGGCATAGGGAAGAACAGAAGAACCCAATCAACAATAAAAATCAAGAATCCTACTTCAATCACCAGAGATCTCCAGCCATTCATGTCACCCCAGCTGGAAAATCTCTGCTGAGCCTTGCACAAATTTCTGACCCACAAAGCTAAGAACCTAATAATACACTGGTTGTTTTACATTTCAGGAACAGCTGGTGAACACTCTCCTTGGGCTTAATTGCTTAGTCATTTCACAGTATTTACTGAAAAGCTTACAATGGCATACACAGTATTTGCCAGCACCGCCTATTGAAAGAGAATCTTAGGGCTGGGGATGTGGCTCAAGCGTAGCACGCTCGCCTGGCATGCCTGCGGCCCACGTTCGATCCTCAGCACCACATACAAACAAAGATGTTGTGTCCGCCAAAAACTAAAAAATAAATATTAAAAAAACTCTCTCTCTTTAACAAAAAAAAAGAAAGATAATTTTAATTAGGAAGAAATTTGTAATTATTTGGTGATAATCTACATAGTGAAGCAAAATAGTAATGTAATATAATAAAATGGTAATATAATAATATAATAAAAGGGAAATGTATACTTTTTTGTCACAGATATCTGAGATGTTATTATTGGGCAGTTCGAACTTTAATTACCATTGGAGGTCTCCCAGAGCCACAAACTACATTTGAAATTATTTTCCAACTTTTGAATTTTTTTTCTGGAGTGTTTGTGTTCTCCAGCTTAATTGGTCAGGTAAGTTGAATATGTACACCTAAATACATAGTGTTTTCATTTTTGAAAGACTAACAAGTGTTTACAAATTTTATGGAGGAAAGATTAAAAATTATCTAGTGGTTATTCTTTGTCTTCTCCTCCTCCTAACTCCTCTACTTCTTTCACTAACTTTCATCTATTTTAATGACATGGAGGGGGACGTGATTGGGTCAACTCACACAATATATCCATTAATGTCCAGGGTCTGCTATATTCCAAAGGAGTTTGGAAGTTATCAGTTCAGAAAAGAGAAGCATCCTGGGAGGTTTATGGAGCAGGATGCATTTGAAGCATCTTCAAAAAACAGGTAGTATTCAGTAAACATAGACAGGTATTTCAATTGATCAGAAACAGTATGTGGAAAAGATGTCACAGAGACAGTGTGGGGAAAAAATGATAAAGCATGAGACAACTTCAAGAAGATAGAAACAGTTTCAGTTCTAAACCATTAGATCCATTAGAAGATCTACCAGAAAAGTCCATTTTTCAGAAAAAGATACTTCTATGTCAACTTCTTACCTGAAGCTTCCTTAAAGCTTTCTTATTTCCTTAAAATTCAAATGTTATCATAAAATCATTGGGTTAAAATCAACCCATTTAAACTACAAACTAAAAAATACATCTTAAATAACTAATAAATCATTGTTTTACAGATGTTTGCTATGGCATTCTGTCCCTCTTCTCAAGAGATTACAGTAGAGTAAGAAAATAAAACAAGTGCATAAATAGATATATTACAAGTTGAAAGAGACCAAAATCTCTGTGAATTCCCAGAATCACCATTAATGAAAAGTTCAACAGCAGAGCATCTTTAGAACTTTTACTTCCTTGGAAGATACTATATATACCACATGCTAAAAAACAAAAAAAGCCATGTCGGGGCATGGGCACTAGGTTAGATTACATCACAAAATGATTATTCCAATTAGAGAAACTATGGGTTCCCACTCACCACACTCACAGTAGTAGACTGAAACTCATTCTTTAACAAAATTTAGCAATCAAAAAATTATTCATTATGATATCTAACACTATTCAAAAGCAGTCAAAACTTACATGTGAATGTCCAAGGTCTTCTATACATAGCAAGCTCCAGAGGAGTTTGGGAGCTATCAGTTCAGAAAAAGGAAGCTTCCCAGGAGGTTTTGTGGAGGAGGATGCATTTGAAGCATCATCAAAAACCAGGTAGTATTCAGTAATCATAGACAGGTAGTTCAATTGATCAGAAACAGTGTGTGGAAAAGATGTCACAGAGAGAGTACAGGAAAAGATGATAAAACGTGAGACAACTTCAAGAAAATGGAAACAGTTCCAGAACAACTGGAGAGAACATGTGTAACTAAGAGCTATATGTAAAGATAAGATATTTTAAGAGCTCCAGATGTTAAAGACATTGAACTCTATCTTAAAGACAATAGAAGCCAGACAAGAGATGATTTTGAACAAAGATTCAAGGAAAGTCAGTTAAAATATAATGAATTGGAAATTGGGATACTACTTTAAAACAGAGGTTTTATTATTATTTAGTTATGGTAAGACTCACAATTTATGGTATATGGTAGTTGGTTATACTCATAGGGCTCAGGAGGAGGGAGCCCGTCATACCATGGTGGGGAGGATGAACAAAATGGGAAAGCACAGCTAGCGAACAACAGGAGAGGCAGGATAAGCAGGGTTAGTGTTGGCTTGTTTAAATAATTTCCGCATGCTCTGAGGTGTAGGACTGTCTCTATTTATCTGGTATCCGGCACTGTTGAATGGGACAGTGGGTAGAGGCCTGAGTGTGAGACAGTTGGAAATATGGGATCTGGATCAGTTACTTTGCATATGAGACACTCTTGGTAGAGGTGATCACTATCTCCGGGAATTAACTGACCCTGGGAAGTGCAAGCAAGGCCCCAGACAGCAGCATATTAAAATACAGAGAATTAAAATATGTTTAATGCAGATACACAGAGGTACGGCAATTCCAGCCTAAACACATCAATGGTCTGGAGAGAGAGGTTGTAAAGGAAATTCCATTAAGAAAATATTTAGGGGGCTGGAGATGTGGCTCAAGCGGTAGCACACTCGCCTGGCACGCGTGCGGGTTCGATCCTCAGCACCACATACAAACAAAGATGTTGTGTCCACTGAAAACTAAAAAATAAATATTAAAAAATTCTCTCTCTCTCTCTCTCTCTCTCTCTCTCTCTCTCTCTCTCTCTCTCTCTCTTTAAAAAAAAAGAAAATATTTAGGTACTGGAAGTTGGATATAAAGCGGTTAAAAACTATAAGTATAGGGCTGGGTATATAGCTCAGTTGGTAGAGTGGTTGCACAAGGTCCTGGTTCAATCCCCAGCACCACAAAAATAAAAACAACTGTAAGTATAAAATATCATAATCTTAGTGGCTCGAGAAATTGTATCAGTGGTTGAAATATGAAGCTGGTTGGAGAGAAAATTTAAACCAACTTGAATATAAATAGCAAAAATCACATTTCATAATTTTTCATAAAATCAATGTGAGGTAGTCACATCCCATTCATTGTTTTCTCTGTTTTACAGAGGCAGAAACTCCAATTTAAAGATTTTTAAGATGCACCCCCTAATTCATACATGTAATCCATACAGATATATGATATATATGATAGAAGCATACATAATAATAGTAAAATCCACCACATATTGAGCACTTACCAAGTCCAAGGCAGTTTTCACAACAAGACTAAGAAACGATGTCTATCTGGCACCAGTTCAATTCTCTTGCTGCTCTAAGTGTAGCCTTTGGAAAAGCAGCAGCAGCAGCACTTGAAAAATTCAGAACTCAGGCCCTCCTTCAGACCTACTGAGTTAGAACCTGCATTTTTAACAAGATCTTCACGTGATTCTTAAGCAAATGAAAGTAAAAAGTGTTGTTTTATATATCACACCACACCATGCCTGTCTTTAAATTGAATTTGAGGTTCCAACAGGAACAGAAGGAAATATCAAGTCATTGAATATAATGCACCAGAGCACAAGAGAAAGATTAAACTTGGAAGTACAGATTTGTACCTTAAACTCTCATCTTGAATAAAAATATTTAGAAACTAAAGTAAGAGAGCTTGAAACAAAATCTACATTTACTCAAATTCCCACAGATAGTCATATCAGTGATTAACCCTGAAACTAATCATTACTTTTTAACCACACAATATTCTATTCCCTGATGCATCTTATAGAGCCTGAGATTTTCTAACTCTCCTATCCTCATGCATTTCAAGGCTGGGACCATCATGGAATACAACAAAACTTCTTTAACTCCTACACCAACAAAACCCAACATTGCTGAAGAATACCACACAAAACACTCAGATTCCATTCACTACAAATTCGTGGGCCCTCAACACCCAGTCAGTGTTTTTGTAGCTCAGTGGTAAAGCACTTGCCTAGCATGCATTGAGGTCCTGGGTTCAATCCCCAGCACCAAAAAGAAAAAAAGGAAGGTAGGGAAGGAGGTGAGGGATGGGGGCAGAAGGGAAAAAAAGGAAGAAGAAATGCCTTAAATAGTCCTAACTTCCCAACTAGCACCCTATTAAATCTCACAACCCAACCCCTTAATATTCCAAGTCTCCCATCCTTAGGTAATTACATAACGTTTGTCATCTACAAAGAAATTCATGGAAAATTGAGATCTAGAAATTGAGATTATGAAAAAAAATATTTGGAAGAGGCATTGAGAAGTAAGAGACTCAGAAAGGTGGACACAGTTGGATGATCTGCCTGGCTCCTCAATAAACATTTTTGAGAAGTAGAAGACCTTTTTGACTCTTAAAACTGGAAACTGATGAAGGCATCATTTGAGCTAGAATTCAAAGAATGAGTAGATTTTTTTTGTTTTTGTTTTTGTTTTTTGTTTTTTTGTAAACATTAAATGCTTAGCAGCTACTAGAATGAATGAGCAAAGTTTTAGTGTGAAAGTGAGACCCTGGTTTTCTTCCCTGTTATAAACCCACAGTCAAAGCAAATTTACAACCACTTGCTTCCTTCTATGCGAGAGGAAGAGTTGAGCAATATATCTTTTTTGTGCTGAGACCTTAAAGATCAGCTTTTAACCTAGAGTGGATTTTTATGGCTGAGTTATAAACATCCAAGAACTAAAACCTGACAGTTCCTTAAGTATTGTCACAGCAGTAGATGATGCTTCAGTAATTTTAGCACATTTCAACTTCTGCTGAATACTATGCCTAAAGCATAATGAGATTTGATTTTTATCTGTCTAAACAACACAAAGGGAAGTACAAAGGTTGCAGTTCCATGATGAATTGAGTCTACATAGCCAGCCACACTGGATAATCTATGAAGGATGCTTTCAAAGTAAGACTGACCCAAATGGACTAGCCATTCTGTCAGATAATTGCTAATTTCCATTGCCGTTCCTTGTATACACAGAAGCTGTATGATTTTTTAAATATCAACTAACATTTCATAGCAATGTACAAGTACACAAAGAGGATTCTTTTTGTTTGTTTTAATTAGTTATACATGACAGTAGAAAGCATTTATGCACTTTGATACATAGTTGGGATATAATTTCTCATTTTTCTGATTATACATGTTGCAGAATCATATTGGTCATGCAGTCACATATATACATATAGTAATAATGTCTGTTTCATTCTACTGTATTTCCTATCCCCACATTTGTTCCCCTCCCCTCCCATCACCTCCTTCTACCTAATCTAAGGTAACACTATTCTTCCATAGTGCCCCCTACCCCCTTCACCGTCCCCAACCCCATGCCTTACTGTGAATTAGCATCTGCATATTAGAGAAAACATTCAGCCTTTGGTTTTGTGGAACTGGCTTATTTCACTTAGCATGATACTCTCCAACTCCATCCATTTACTGGTAAATGCCATAATTTTACTCTTCTTTAAAGCTGATTAATATTTCATTAAGTATATATACACCACATTTTCTTTATACATTCATCTATTGACGGACACTTAGGTGGGTTCCATAATCTAGCTATTGTGAATTGAGCTGCTATAAACATTGATGTGGCTGTCACTATAGTACGCTGATTTTAAGTCCTTTGGGAATAAACCAAGGAGTGGGATAGCTGGGTCAAATGGTAGATTCCATTCCCCATTTTCTGAGGAATCTCCATACTGCTTTCCATAGTGGTTGCACCAATTTGCAATCCCACCAGCAATGAATGAGTGTACCTTTTTCACCACATCCTCACCAACATTTATTGTTGTCTGTATTCTTGGTGATTGCCATTCTGATAGGAGTAAGATGAAATCTTAGAGTAGTTTTGATTTGCATTTCTCTAATTGCTAGAGATGTTGAACACTTTTCATATATTTGTTGATCAATTGTATTTCTCCTTCTATGAAGTGTCTGTTCAGTTCCTGAGCCCATTTATTGACTGGGTTATTTGTTTTTTGTGTTTTTTTTGAAAGGTGTTAAGTTTTTTCAGTTCTTTATATATCCTAGACATTAATGCTTTATCAGAGATGCATGTGGTAAAGATTTTCTCCCAATCTGTAGCCTCTCTCCTCACATTATTGTTTCCTTTGCTGAGAAGAAGCTTTTTAATTTGAATCCATCCCATTTATTGATTCAGTCACATGCATTATATGACAGAATACTCTCAAAAATCTCACATGGATGGTTAAGATGACAGGTCTTGTTATTGTCCTCTTTGGTCAGAGAGAGGATGTGATTTGCCCAATATTTTATGGAAATGGATGAAGTTAGCACCCAATATCAGTGTGTTTCAAATCAAGTCAGGTCATCAGAAGAGAATGTATAAGAACACTTAATCAACTGGACTTTCAGTAACTCCAACAGTTCCTCTCCTGGGTGTGGAGTGACTATGTTTGCTGTTTTAGATGAGAGATGTAATCGGGGCAGCTACAGCCAATCAAAACAACTTCCGTGCCAGCATGGATAACACCACTGCCTACATGAACACTTACTCCATTCCTCAAATTGTGCAGACTCGAGTTCGGACTTGGTTTGAATATACATGGGACTCTCAAAGAATGCTAGGTAAGCATGACAATTTTCTGATTAAATTCCTGCAAACCTTGTCATATAATAAAAATTAGGTAAGGTAGAAGGAGAGATGAATTGGATTTAAACACAAGATTGAAAAGCAATTAAACGATCTTTAAAGCATTAATTTAGTGTCATGGGATTTTTTTTTTCTTTTCTTAAATATGGACCCCTATCTTGCTGGTAAGGCAAATCTTGAAAGAGAATGCTTGGGTTTTATTCAATGCCTAGTGGAAGCTAAGAATTACACATTTTGCCTCATATCACCAAAAAAGAAAATCAAGAAAATTGACACAGCCAAGAAGTGGCCAATTGGAACTCAGATCTATTTCTATTCTCCAAACTCTTGCTTTTTCTATGACATCACCCTTTTCCTGGGAGCAGAGTACTCAGGGTAATAGCAATTTTTTAGGTCATCCCTATCCTGTGGCAAGCACACAGTTCCTTCTAAGAGACCCTTAATAACTAACATTGACAACTAATAATACTATAATACTGGAGTTAAAATAATGTATATTAAAGGGTAATAAAATAAGATGAAGATAATATGCTGATTGACAATAATCAAATTCAATTTTTAGTTTTTCTATAAAGATAAGAATTGATGCCACTGAGAAGTCAAAAATATAATAACAAAGCTACTGACTCCAGTCCAAAAATGAGATTCCCAAATCACAAATGTGCCTAAGAAGAGAAAGGACCCTTTGGTTATTGGGAGCAGGAACTTTTCACCTTTCTGCCACTCTTAAGAAAGTCGAGCCTCATGTTTGGAAACTTTTTCTGATTGACCAGGAACATGCCTTTCTCTTGAGCATCTACAGATATTTCTGAGGGCATTTCAAGTGGGAAAGAAGCCAGAGAAGGAGCAATGTCTCCTCCCTTGTCCCTTTAGCAGCTGCAGATACTGACCCAGAGCCTTGGCTTCAGAGGTAACTAGATACAAACAGCCCTCAGAAACTAGAAACTATGTTTTATGCAGAAGATGTTCAGATTTAGAATCTATACTGACATCAACATAGGGATATAATATAGCTATTTTTCTCTTTCTAAACAAATATAAAGAAACATCAAAATAATCAGTTCTCATAAACCTTGGGCATACTAAACATTAAGAATAGACATTTTTGTTTATGAAACATTTTGTCAGCCTGAAGGCCCATCATCTAATTCGCGTGTAGAAAAATCTATAATGTATTCACATTCTTTATTGAGTTAATAAGCAAGTAAATAACAATAATTTGAATTTACTCACTTAGCACATTTCTTCTTTAGTTTCCATTCCCAGCTGAGCCTACCTATTAATTATGCTCAATCCAGCAAGTCACTTACAGCCTCTGTGGGTTTCAGTTCTTTTTGTTTTTCTTCTTTCTGCAAAGTAGGAATGAGAACACTTACCCTTAGAGTTGTCATAAGGGTCAAATACGATAATGGGTATGACAGAGCTCTGTACACATTCAAACACCACCTGGCACTCATTATTATCTGCCATCCCTGAGACATTAGCCTGCAAATAATAGAAGCAGAAAACAAGAGCTTCATCCTTTTCCCAGCTCAGCTTGTACACTAGCCTTTGTCTCATGATCATTAAATTTCATATCTACGATTTCAGCAAACACAAAGTTTGGGGATTATTCAATATGTCATCCATTGTAAAATACCTCTTTCCTCCCATGAGCATAATAGTCGTGTTGTGTTAGGTACATAGGTCCAATAGATATAATGAAAATATAGAATGTGATACATGCATTTATTTATAAAACTTTGCATATTATTTTCTTTATTTTTTAAATTTTCTACTTGTACTTTCATTAATTTTTCTGTTTAATGGGTCAATGTGTTTATCTTTACAAAGATGAGTCTGATTTGCTTGAGACCCTGCCGGGTACAATGCAGTTATCCCTCGCCATTGATATGAACTTCAGCATCATCAGCAAAGTAGAATTGTTCAAGGCAAGTGCTTTACAATTAATATAAAGGTACCGTATCAGTTTCCCTGCAATGTCTAAGCTCTTGCTTTAAACGGTATTTATGATATTTTTCCTTATGTTTCAACAAAGTCAAAATAACTTGGAGAATTTATGAGAGTCAAATAAATTACAGGTCTCTCCCCAACAGACAACTTACTCTTTAGAAGCCTCTCTCTTCTAATTGGTGTCAAAGAAGAGTTCTTCAGACTTTTCTTGCATTAATTTAAATATAATTATACTCTACAGTTCTATGTCTTTGCTAGTATGTGCACCTCTTTCCATTTATGAAGATACCTTGGAAATGTATAAGAATCAGGCCCTTGCAGATTATCTCTAGATTGGCCTGACAGAGAATCATGCCTAATCTAGTTTCCTGTTACAAATGCTTTGGATTTAGACTTTTAAAATGGCCAAATTTAAATTTAAATTTAAAGACTTTTCTTTTTCAGGAAAGAAAAAAAATAAGAAGAATTTTTGTCTTAATTTTTCTCTTTTTTTTTTTTTTTTTTTGGTATGGGGGATTGAACTCAAGGGCACTCAACCACTGAGCCACATCCTCAGCCTATTTTGTGTTTTATTTAGAGACAGGGTCTCACTGAGTTGCTTAGCACCTCACCATTGTTGTTTCCTTTCTTCATGTATTATACTATATATAAATTTACTTCTCCTTAGATTTAAATCTATCTGTGTGTGTGGCATTCCCTGATTCATCTATTCAGTTAGCTCATTCAAGAAATATTTACTAAGCTCCTACTCTGTTCTAGTCACCATTTTAGCCAGTGGGCATACAACAGTTGAAAACATATATAAATAAATAAATAAATTATATATATATATATATATATATAATTTATTTATTTATTTATTTTAAATTTCAGAAAAAGAGAATGCAAAATAATATATTACATGAGGAGGTGATAATGCCATGAACAAATTAAACAGGTTAAGGAAGATGAAGGTGGTACTACTCAGGAAAGGCTTCTGGGATGAAATGCTTTTGAGCATTTGAATAGAGGACTGAAGGAGGCAAAGGAGTGACATATGCAGATATGGAGAGGAGAGAAAGGGCCGGGCCAGGGGAATAGCACAGGAGAATGGACAAGAGGAACTCTAAGCTACGAACAAGGCAAGGAGGCCAGAAGTGCCAAAGCCAAGTTAGGATGATGGAAAGCAAGAGAAGCCTGAGAGAAGTACTAAATGGGAGGATGTGGAAGGGGTCAAGTTCATGGAGGGCCTGGGAGCTGCATTGTAGATTTTGGATAGACTGTACTCTGACTTGTCAAGGCACTGAGGATCTTGAGCAGAAAATAATATGACACTAGTTTCAAAAGGACAATTTTCCTGCTGGGTGGGGACCTCAAGAAGCAGGTGTGGAAGGCAAAGAGATCAAATGGAGTCATTGTAACTACCCACAGAAGAGATGACAATGATGGGACCCGGGGTAGTAGACTCATCACTGAGAAGGGGCCGAATATTAGCTGTGTTCCAAAGAGGCTGCAGTTCTTGCTGTTTGATGGTATAAACACAGTTAGAAACAAGAAAGGACCCAGGGGGACTCCAAGGATGTAGGCCTGAGGAACAGGAAGAACAAAGATATTACTTTCAAAATAGGAAATTTTAGAATAAGTATAGACTGAGGTGAGTAGAAAACAACCTTGTTAGGGCTTGAATAATGGTGTCCTTTCCAAAATTTCTGTTGAAATTCGATCCCCAGAGCAATGGTCTTCTGTATGTCATATGGCCTTAGGGTGGTGGTGAAGTCTTAAGGAGTGTGCCTTAAGTGATTACCACCCTTATAAAAAGGCTCAAGGTTAAACCAGGCAAGGCAGTGCAGACCTGTAATCCCAGCAGTTTGGGAGGCTGAGGCAAGAGGATCCTGAGTTCAAAGCCAGCTTTTGCAACTTATCAAGGCTCTAGCAACTCAAGGAGACCCTGCCTCTAAATAGGGGGCCAGGCATGGTGGCACAAACCTGTAATCCCAGCAGCTCAAATGCCTGAGGCAGGAAAAACATGAGTTCAAAAAATAAAATACACAATAGGGCTGGGGGTGTAGCTCAGTGGTTGAATGCCCCTGAGTTCAATCTCGGGTACCTCCACACCCACAAAAAAAAAATGGCTGGGGATGTGACTTAGTGGTTAAGTGCACCTGGTTTAAATCCTTGGCAAAAAAAAAACAAACTCAAGGTTAAAGGAATGCTTTTCTTCCATATGAGTGCACCACATTCTCCCCTCCAGAACACATAGTGACAAATTCCACCATGGAAGAGAGAGCAGCCTTCAGCAGACAACAAGCCTGCTGACACCTTGACATTGGACTTCTCAGCTGTCAGAACTAAGACAAACAAAGTTCTATTATTTATTAACTATACAGTATATGGTATTTTGTTATAGCAACACAAACAGACTAAGATAGACTTGTTCATTTGAGGTGACTGTTAAGAGTTCCAGATGGAAATTTCAGGTGGGCTGTTTGATTTATTATTCTGAGTTCATGAGAGAAGTCCAGACTGAAACAATAAATTTAGACCTATCAGCATTTTGATGTATTTCAAGCTATGGTACTCAATGTGATCACTTAAAATATGAATGTAGACAGAAAAGAAAATATAATCTACACAAAAGCATATGCCTTGAAAATACATAATCACTATCATACCACTGGAGACAAAACAAAGAAAAAACTATACAATAGAATGGTTAAGCAGAGTTACTCCCAAAGTTAGGTTAACAGATGACTCTGTAGGATACCAGAATTAGGTCAATATCCTAGGACTCTTGTTCATCAAATCCTCGTCTAAATTTCCATCAAAATGTTCATGAAGATATAAAAGGTGTGATATTCAAATTGGCAGATGACACAAAGTAGAAAGGAGTAGTTTAAAACGTGATAATCACAAAATTGAAATCAACTGAATACTTAACACTATGAGCAAAGCCAACAATATTAAACTGCAACAGCAAAAAAGTAAAATTCTAAACTTAGGTCCAAATTAAAATATTACAAATGCGAAAAAAAAGAAGCAATAGTTTTATAGCAATTCATTTCAGACCTAGGAGTTTTACTTGACTTCAAATTCCATGAGTCAACAGAGTTACGTATGAGATTATCTGACATTTTGACATCATATTGGTTTTCCTGATTATTTCAACTACATCGGCACTAACATCACATTGCAAACAACCAATTTTAAGAAGGATGCAGATGAATTTAAGTTTCTTTGGCTAAGGGTATGAGTAGAGGTTGAGTTTTGGGCCACAGAATCATGAAAGAATGACCTTATAAAATTATTCTTCCATAGCAAAAATCAGATCAATGATTGTTTCTAATGGGGAGTAGAAATGGGGACATTGATTAGAAAGAAGTATGACAGAAATTTTGGGGTGAGGGAGTATTGTTTCTTTCTAGTTAAAGTATACAAGTATATGCCTTTGTCAAAATTGATCCAACTGTCCCTTTAGAGCTGTATATTTCACCATATGTAAATTATACTTCCATTTTTAAGGAAGAAGAATGGCCTCCAAAGATATTTTCTAGACGCTGAAGAAGCTGTGGGAGAAAATCCATTCGAGGACAGCAGAAGTTCTATATACTTAAGTTTTTTTACAAAAATGAGACTTTCTCTGTAATGTTTAGCAAACTAGTACCCAGCTATATACTCCTTTTTTCTTTTTTACTTCCACATTTATTTTTTATTGGGGGAGTGGGTAACCAGGGATTGAACTCAGGGACACTCAACCACTGAGTCACATCCCCAGCCGTATTCTATATTTTATTTAGAGACAGGGTCTCACTGAGTTGCTTAGTGCCTTGCTTTTGCTGAGCCTGGCTTTGAACTTGTGTTCCTCCTGCCTCAGCCTCTAGAGCTGCTGGGATTACAGGGGTGCGCCACAGCGCCCAGTTTCTCCCATATTTCTATTGGTGCATTACAGTTGGACATAACAGTAGGATATGATGTTACATATTTGCACATGCACTCAATATAGAAATGATTTGGCCAGTATCACTCCCCAGTATTTCTCCTTTCCTCCTCTCCTCTCTCTCCCTGGTCCCTTTCCTCTACAGGTATTCCTTGGATTTTCATGTGATCCCCTTACCACCTTTCTTTTCCTTTTCCTCTCTAGCTTCCACATATGAGAGAAAACATACAACTCTTGGCCTTCTCATGTAAACTCCTAAAGTGCAGACACCTAAAGTGGAGTAAAACTTTCTGGGAAAACCAAGTTTGGTTCTGTCTCTGTATCTGCTACACAGTGCAATTTCTGACACAGAGCAGTGACTTACTAAAGGCCTTAGAGAGGCAGAGAGTGCAGGAGGGAGACAGGATGCACTGGTACCAATTCTTGAAGATTATGGAAAGTGATTTCCAGTTTCTGAGGGGAGCTCTCCCACAATGGATGCTCCATGAAAAGTAGAAGCATCATGAAAGAGTTTTCTGGTCTTCTGTCAGGTAGCCTATGATAAGGATTCTACATTGGTTATTAAGTCCCTGTAGATAAATGATTTTCACACTGTAGTTTGTCATCTGTTGGGGGTTAATGAATCCAATTAATGGGTCACAACCAGCATATAAAATGGAAGAGAAAATATCAGAATGCATCATGCTAAGAAAGGGTAGGTATTTCTAGGTTCAATGAAATTGTATGTCTTTTGGGTTTTTTGTTTTGTTTTGTTTTGTTTTTAGATATCTTTTTTTAATACTAGGTATTGACTCCAGGAACTTGCACGTGCTAGGCACTCTACCACTGAGTCACATCCCTGTCCCTTTTTATTTTTTATCTTGAGACAAGGTCTCGTTAAATTGCCTAGCCTGACCTCAAACTTCCTGCCTCAGCTTTCTGAGTAGCTGAAATGATAAGTGTTCACCACCATACCCAGCAAGATTGTGTTACTGTGCATAGTGGTCAAAAATGTATGAACACCACTAGATTAAATTGATAGTGTTTTAAAATGTAAGATTTAAAACCTTAATGTCTCTAAAATCT